CCCCTCACGCCGGATTGATAAATGCCAGCGATCTCGGCTGGCTCCAAGGAAGGCGCATATTTATTTTTATTTTATCTTATTTTATTAGGACAGGAAGAATTACACGCCTTCTGGGACTGAATGTCTTTTGAAAATTGTGCGTGGTGTGTTTCTCTGAGTACTGTATGTGCACACGCGCGCTCGTCTCGTGCCTTCGGGGGGGGTAGTGTGATACCATTGAGGCTTTTGGATTTAAACCACAGAAAACATAAATTCATGCCTTGGGCTTCGGACGAAATCAGAATGGCACACTCAAGTAAAACCAGGGCTCAGAGCGATCGATGGGATTTCTCCCCAATTCAATTCCTTGGAAATCAGTTCTGCGGATTGCGGAGTGAGGCTTCTAGGTTTGCGCAAAGGTGCAGCCCTCGGAGACCCCCTGGGAAATCACCAGTCCTAAGCTTCTCACTAGGAAGCAGGAGGAAACAGGTTCTCAGCCCCACCCAGGGAATGTACATTGGGACATCTCGAGGTCACCAGGAACAAACCTTGATTCGGGTAGCCCCAGGCGAGAATGCGCCTGTCCCATTCGCATCAACAAGGGTCCCTATTCCGCTCAGTCCGGGCGCGGATGGGCAAATCGGTGTGCAGGTCTTGCTCGCTGAACAGAAGCAGGTTCTAATTAAAACAAGTGAAGTACTTCCAGCGGATTTGGTGTTGTTGTTTTGTTAATTCAGTGGTTGATATAAAAGCGGAGAAGGGCTTTGGCGACAAAACCTGCCTTACTTTCCTTTTCAGCATCAGAAAGCGGAGATAGCCCGGTTTCCAGTTCATTTCGTCCTTTGCTAAAACCACATCATAAAGTTGACCCCATCTGTTCTTGAAAGAAATCTGGGAGAGCAGGCTCCTTTTTTTTTGTCCCATGTCACAGGTAGAGAAATGGGACTGGAGCTCAGGAAGGTGCCCAGGTAAAGAGCGGAGGCCTGCTGCTCAGAGCCTTGCTGCCTGTATCTCGTGCTCTTCTTTATAAAGCCTGAGCAAATCTCATTATAAGAACGGAGAGGCGGCAGCGCTGCTGTGGACCGCCTGGCCAATGTCCTTGTAGAGAGGGGCAAGGAAGGCCCCAGCCGATCTCGTTTGGAGCGGCGTCCCATTCCCTCCTCAGCAACTTTGGCAGCGCCAATGAATCGGAGTGTTGTCTCACCAGGAGAGCCGAAAAACGGAAGGCAACAGAGCGTTCAAGCAATTGTGTATTGGCACCCACCCCTCTACGTGCTTGTGTGGTTACCATCCTTCCCTTCTTCTCACCACAGAAAGATAACTTTTGGAAATTTAATTAATTTGATAGATTCTTCCAAGGACTCCTAAGACGAAGGGAGGAACAAAATAGTTTCTGGATGGTTCAGTCATAAGTGTGCCTTCAGAGCGTTCTCCCGTCTTCTCTACTGCGCAGATGCGGTCATGGCCGCCGTTTATTCCCATTTTAGAGAGGGGAACACTGACACAGCGACCCACCCAAGATGTTCCCCAACCCCTCTTAAAGAACTGGACTCCAAACCTACGCACGTCCCCTTTTCCAAAACAAGTCTTTGGTTCTCAAAGGGAAAAAGAAGAGAAGCCGTCTGGGGAACGGGCTGAGGCCAAAGCATCGGTGTCAAAGGCCTTGTGGCTGGAGAACTGGATCATCCCCTCGAGATGAGCGAAGGCGCCCCACACTGCAGCAGTGCTGGCGACCTCACGTGGGGGAACGTTTCTTTAGGCAACAAAAACTGCCCTGCCTGTAGACAACTAGCTGGGGCAGTGCCGCTTAACTTGCTTTCTGACATGGCCACGAGTGGAGTGATGGCAGCTGATGAAGCCCTCTGCTGTCCACCGGAGCTTATGCTGAATAAAGCCAGTTAGTCTTTAGGTAACCCAAGACTCTTTGTTGTTTTTTCCTGCCATGGGTATTTCTTAATTTATTAATTAACAGACCTGATGATAGGACCTCTTGGAGGCCACTAATTCATAGGGTCAGCATAATTCAGAAGCGACTTGACCTTAAATAGGCCTCAAATATTTGTTCACCGGTCAGGATAGTATTGCCAGTCTCAACTAGAGAACAGACCCGTGCTGAGTGGTAAAGTCAACACATACACACACTCGTGTAAATCTATATTCCACAGAGGCAATTGACCTAATCTAGCTGGGTCTAGCAACAGGATACTGGCCACGACAAGAAGATGTTTTGAAGTGGTACAGCCCGGATCGAAGTCCGCCAGCGCTGTGACCACCTTATGGGAGCTTTGCCTGCCTTTTACGGGGGAGGACGGGGAGGAGATGGAGGAGGGAGGGAGGGAGGGAAGGAAGGAAGGGAGAGACGGCAGAGGAGGGGCGGCGGCGGCTGGTCACAGACAGTGACCTGGAGCTGAGTGGAAGCAGGCTTTTTCCATCATCAACCCTCCGCCTGGCTTATACCACCCACGGAGCCCGAGTGTCAGTTTACTGCCCTGAGCCGGGTTCCTTTTCCCCGAGCTCCCCCAGTAATTAGACAAAGCAAAGCTAAATTAACTGAACAGGCGTCGACAGCTTCCTCCAGATCACCGCGGCTCCGTCCCTGGGAAGAGAGGCCCCGAAAATGGCTTGATTGTACCTGAAAATCAGCTAAGAAAACACCGCTAAGCTTGACAATGTTTATGACACAATCTGAGCCCAAGAAAGATTTGGGGTGTTTTTCTCTCTCCCCCCCCCCTCCAATGTGATGGGGAAGCCAGACAGGACCGCTGCCCTCTTATAAGGATCTGCTTCCCTTGGGAACGCGGGTGGTGGTGGAGGAGGAAGGCCTTTCACTGGGGCCCCCGAGGTGGCCACTTGTCTCTGGAGAGCTGCAAAGCCCCAGAAAATGTTAAACATTCTCCGCCTCCCTCTTTTCAACAACATCGTACTTCCCCCAAGCCTGATCCGTGAATGACATCTGAGTTCCTTCCGTCTTCGTCGGCTGACCTTTTTGGCTTAAACGGATCGTTTCCTTGGCAAAGGGCATCTGACATCCCCGAAAAGGTTCAAAAGGGGGGGGGGAGGCATTTGCCCCGCTATCGCTCCAAACGGCGAACAGTCTTTGCCAGGCAATTTCTTGTGATCTGTAACGGCGGCGGAGCGAGGTGGGAAAGACAAGTCCAGTTCAGGAAAGAATAAATACTTTGTATTGCATGCGAATTTCCACAGCCACTGCTTGTAACTTACATGAACCTATGTTATTTTCCTGACTAACTCAGATTCTATCTCAAAGCTGAGTTTGGTCGTTTCTCCCACGTCAGATTGCAAGAGAGGAGCCCGATCTAAACTGCCCCTTACTCTTCCTTCCTTCCTTCCTTCCTTCCTTCCTTCCTTCCTTCCTTCCTTCCTTCCT